GGTATCGATTCGGATCTTTATTTCTACTATAAAACACTTTTGTTGCGAGGAATCATTGCAGCAAGGAAACATCACGAACGAATCATGACGATAGTACAGATAATGTCTAAAGGTGCAAACCAATTATCTGAATCGTAATGATGCCTCACGTTTGCCTTCCTTCAAAAAAGTTAAAAATGAATTGATTTCCAGGTTCTCAGCTGCCATGTTTTCGAGGTGGTGCTGCGATGTTGCGAGCTTTGAAGGGGCGGTTCCACATGAATTATACTGACGCAGAACTGCAGAAGCTGGTCCGTTCTACCTTTGTCTCCAAGTTTTTCTTTCAAATGACCAGCGTTTGTCATGTACAGCGATAGTGACTACGAATATGATTACGAGATTGCTGAAGCGCTCTCTAGTAGTTGGGGGAGGATGCAATTTTTTGCCATCTATGCGACAAAAAAAATCTGTAGTTCAATGTTTTTTTTGTAAAATTATCTACTTTCTGCCCGAAAACTAAGTTTTCATGTGTTTGTTTGTTGGGGTTGAAGCATGTCTATGCTATAGGGATATACTTTTCCTCTGTCGGCAATTTCTTATTTATGCAAAGACTGGGTAAAGTTATCGTTTAAATTTTCGCTTTCCATAGGCAGCTTCCTCCATAAGAAACTTCTTTGCCAGTAGCATTTTTTCTATGTAATACCCATATTTTGTAAGTAGTTCTTGCGTTAGCAACTTTTTCCATGATTTTTTGGGCAACTCTTCTCTCAAGCAATCTTTATTTTGCGAGCATTTCTCCTCGGAGGGCTTTCTTCTATCTCCGCGTCGTATTCCGTAATAATTTACCCTGAGCAACTTGCTACACTTTTTTTTACTGTATCTTCCTGAGCCAACTCCTTTGAAGCAATTTTTTCCTTCAACAATTTTTTCTAGCAAAATATCTCCCTTTTAGCATTTTTCTTCGAGCATTTTTTAACAACTTTTTTACAGTTACTCTTCCAAAAATGCATCATCTTCTGCAAGCATATTTTTCCCACTAGATTTTTTCCCTGAGCAGCTCACTGTTTCTTTCCTGGACGTCTTTTCCTTCTTAGGTAACGTTCTTCAACGCTCATTTCTTCATTCCTTTTGCCTGGCCGTCTCTCCATTCATCTCATTTTTTGTAAACGACTTTTCTTTCATTGCCAGCTATTTTTTCTTATTTGAGTCTTCTACTGAAAAGTCTTTTTCACATACGATTTTCTTCCACGGAGTATGCCCTACAGAAATTCTTTAACTAATTTCTCTTTTACTAGCTGTCCTTGAGCAACTCATGCCTAATCAATCTGGTTTGAAGACTTCGGAGAAATGCTCTTTTGACAGGCTTTTTCTGTGAGCAGCTCTTCCAGACTTTCCTTTAGACGATGCCCCTTCTCCTGTGATTACCACCTTTCCCATGAACTACATATGCTGAGACATTCTCTTTCTGAAACTCTTCCCTAGTAGACTTCCTACTGGGCAACCCACCCTTTTTTGAGCATCATCTTCTTGAGACTATATTTACCA